TATTACGTTACGAATGCGATAGTTATTCGTGCTAGGCACACTGCATAGATGTATAACTGTCACTCACTACCAGTTAAAATAGTGTATAATCTATGCACAGTAGGTAGCAAGGTGTCAACAAAACAATCGTTCTGTCAAAGTCATAAACTAATTATAAAAGTGCCTATGAAATTGAAACTTTAATGTAATTTTTAATTTTGTTACAATACAAAGTTTACTTGTTTTGTTTATTGCCACGAGTAGGTAATGATAATGAAATGGGTGTTCCATAATAGTAAGAACTAAAATAAACTACCTAAAAAATATTGTTTTTTTTTCAGGCTCTCGGTGTACCGGTTACTTATACGTAAACCATTTCTATGGTTGTTAAATTACACATTTAAACCAACTGCACTTTCCCATGAACAAGAAAGAACATGTTGATAAATTTTACAGCAATATCGTTCCTTTAAAACTTACTGAGACACTGCAGCTAAAGCTTAATACAGAAGGTTGGGGGTTGTTGACCGAATATTCACTGGACTCGGTGAAGATCAACAACTATAAAGGAAGAGTTTTATCATGTGCTACAATAAGAATTACAGACACATCAGGACAAGTCACATGTTTGGTCAAGGGACCTGACACAGGTCACTTATTTGGATTGACTACTACAGAGTGGAAAGATGTTGAAAGTATGTGTAACTATGGAGACCAACTCTTTTATAGATATTTTAAAAATGGCATCAATAAAAGTTGCAGTTATGAGCAAAAAATCTTTTATAACTTTTGTATGACCAATCAAAAGAATGATGTTCTTGTTGCCAAGTACCGGAGAGGTGTGAATACAAGAAACAAATTTAAAAATGATTCCTTTCTTGAAATATTACAATTGAGGAAATGTGATAATACTTTGCTAGATCTCTATGTTAACCAACTTAGAAAGAAGAACAACTTAGCCAATTGATATATTTTCATCTTTATTTATTCTAGTAATAGAATGAAGTTATATGAAAAAAAAAGATTAATCACTTCCTTATCGTTTGAGCTTCTACCAATTTTAAATGCAAATTGTCCTTAATTTTCCCATGGTATGAATTTTATAACATCATGTCTACTACAAAAATATAATGGATTTAATATGAAATTGTTTATTTTTTTTTATGAAAAAAAAAATCTTTTCTTATTTGGAAACTGCTATGCAAAGTAATCTTGCAGATTACCGATTTTCCAATAAAATCTAAATCCTGGTATAAGACTTGCCCTTCATGTTCGTGATTGTGATTCATGAGCCCCTAGGGCCTTAAAACATGGGACTATTACTTATGGGCTCACTATTACTAGTGAGTGACCAAATGTGGGCGTCATTTAATGTACCTTACCTACCTATACCCTTTCAGCCGCTGCTGCTAAGAAAGAAAAGCGTGATGTTACACGATATTTTTTACGTGTGATAATTTTACAGATGTCGTTTACAGCATGAACGATAAAGGCATGAGTAACCCCGATTACTTTAGCTACTTTCGACTCAATCAGCGGGATAGTTGAACAATGTACCTAATTAGCACGTAAAGAACGTTAAGTTTGTTTTTTTTAAAACGTTGCCCCGCTGTAATGTTTTGTCCTGTATCGTGGGTGTGTTTTTTTTTAAGGGGGGAAAATCATCGAATGACTGCTCCCGTCTGGGTGAGGCGGAAGGGAGTGTCAGACTCTTACTGACTAAAAACCACCCCGTTCCTTCTCCTGCACGTCGAGCCGGAGCCCCGGTTACCCGTTAGGTTCTCCGCGACATTGTGTGGGTGTGTTTAAAAATATACAATTTCACATACACAGACCTGAAACAACGATTTATGGATTACATACAGTTGCTCCACGCGAAAATCGAACCCACTAAACGTTACCCGGCAGCCCGTTGCCCAGGCACCGCACCACCCGTTCAATCTAAGCTGTAACTTCCGCTAATAAAATGGCAATTTATAATTCATGTCCTCGGCAAAGAACGCAAAAGTTAAATTATGGTAAAGAAGAAAATAACATATAAACAACACCGCGGCACGGTTGGTGCACTAGCTGTGTCGTGCGTAAATCGTGAACAATCGTGAATGTGTCACGGGTTCGATTTCTGCATAGAGTAATTCTTTTTATGATCTAAAACTTTCTGGCTAGATGTGATGTCATCGCACCCTTATCACAGAAGAATAACTAAAATAAGAGCTAAGTAGTGATCTTAAGTCTCAATTAAGCGTCGCGGAGAACCAAACGGGTAACCGGGGCTCCGGCTCGACGTGCAGGAGAAGGAACGGGGTGGTTTTTAGTCAGTAAGAGTCTGACACTCCCTTCTGCATCACCCAGGCGGGAGCAGTCATTCGATGATTTTCCCTCCTTAAAAAAAAAAAAAGTCTCAATTAAGTACCTATCTAAGTAGTGTGGAGTAAAAATGTTTTGTCGATAGGAGTTTTTCAAGTCATACCTACTAAACTCTTTGTTAGTTATTTTTGGTTTATTACACCTACGAAAGCAACTGCCCTGAAAACCCAATCAACAATCAACCCAACTAGACTATGGAACGCCACTTGCTACGATTCTTGCATACCTCTTTCGTAATTGGGCCTCCTGTAACCTCACTCACACGACGAAATACAACGTTGTTTCACGTCGGTCTTCTGTGAGGCCGTGGTATCACTCCGGTCGAGCCGGCCCATTCATATCGAAGCATGGCTCTCCCACACTTAATTGAAGTTGAAGGACTTAAAATAATAATGGCTTAAAAATTGAAATTATTTGGCATATACAATCGCAAGTAAACACCACGTTGCCTTGAAGGTAGGTACTTACTTAGTTAGACTAGGCTGTCATGTTTATTTTACCATATTGTTAAGTTATCCAATATTCAAACATTTGGGTGCTTCAATGATTCAATGTACCTAGTACTATAGGTATCTATATACCAACCTATCTTTTGTAAAGTGTGGGCCGCTTCCTACGTTAGAGGTACCTTAAAGTGACGGTGGGCGTTGACATTAAGTAGGTACGGTTTTTGTCAATGGAAGGCAATGACGAATTGGCAATATTTAAATTTATTTGTGGGCTGAAGCTGTATCGCGTCTCGCGCGACGAAGGCAGTGGCGGTGACTGGCAACTAGCAGTAGGCTTCGCGCCAGCGCGCAGCGAGTACGTGCGCGTGCGCTCTTGTCGAACGAGCCCGGGCTCCCGAGTGTAGCTGCACTATCGAAAAACTATATACACCAACTCATCGACATGGAAGTGGCAGATCAATGGCGGCGCGAGTGGGCTGGAACCGCCGAATATGGAAAGGTGAGGTCAAGCAACCCCTCAAAAAGGTGTTTACAGTCACTTCACCTTTTTAATTTATAAACAATTTTATTTCTATAATTAAATCACTTATTTATGTAATAATTTAAATAAATGAATAGATCATTTAGATATTAAGAAGTAGATAGGTACCTATAACATAACTATCAAACGCATGGTGCAAGCTTTCTAATTTGCATATTTATTAAAGCAGTTTTGTCACACATAATATTGTTTATTTCTATACAATAACAAAATAACTGCTGATACAATTTGAATGTAAGTAAATAAGTTAAGATTGTGGCATTTCGATTAACAAGAGGTCATTGCCAAAAGGCTGAAGTGGTCATTTCCTTCTACGGTGTTAAAACTCAGGACGACGAGACGTTCGAGCAACTTTATGGATATTTATACTCTTTTAAAGAATGAGACTTGTGTTTCATTGCATAAGGTTTAATATTGAGAGAAAAATGTTCAAACAAACCTGTCTGAGCTAGTTCAGTAAGTTTTTTTGTTATGCTCCTTTAATTCGTATGGAAGAGATAAAGTAAAATGCAAGTCTTGCAAAACCATACATACATATGTAACAGTTATGTCACTGTCATTATTTATTCCGGCTGTTCAAATGAAAGTTTTTGACTTATATTGTATAATATTCATTAGTTATGAATTAGAATAAATCGCATTCAAGTTTAGACAGAACCGAAGGAAATGATAAACACGTTATGGCTTTTTGATTATCTTAAATTCTCAAGTACCTAATCCTTATGGTCTATTAAATGCCTGGTTGGTTTGGTTCTAAATAAGCAATATAGCACTGTCCTCACTCTGGGTAAACCATACCGAAGTACTTAAATACTTCGCTGATACTCATACCTTTTACGCTAAACCGGTACTCCATTCCATTGTCATTGGATTTGATAACCTAAATTCCAGTTCAGTAAAGCTAGAACCTATGTCTTAAGCAGGTAGGCATCCTGATATTCCAAATTGCCCTTGTCGAATAGCGCAAGTTGCTAGGTTGGATACAAAGAATATTTAATTTTTAGAATATGGAAAAATATTAACCACATTATGGAAAAAGTAAAAAGAAAATTATTGCATCTTGTAACGCAATCACAAATACTATTACAAGCCAACGGGAAGGTGATGTGAACACAATAGTAATCTCGATCCCAACGCTTGATTGTCGAACAGTGAAAGTGAAGAAATAGACGTGAGGAAGCTACCGATCGCTTTGCTTAACGCATTTCCTATAGATACCTACCATAAATTATCTCCAATCAGGAAACTATGTAAAGACAACCTGGCTCTACGTGTTTATGAACTTTAATCAAGTGCGTGAGTCATTGGATAGTGACGATTACAAATATGGAAATGAAATGATTATGCTCGAGTTCGATAAACAGTAGAAACACCATCAGAGTGTTTTGACTTGATTATGACGCTCTCGCCTAACTACCTACATAATAGGTACCGTAAGGTAACGAAGCGTTGTTAACTCAACATGGTTATTCGGGTTCGTGTGCAGACTGCCGGAAATCCTGTGCAAAGGCCGTGGCTCGCGAGGCTGTGCCTGCACAGTGCCAAACACACTACACTACCTATCTGTTGTCTGACTCTCATTATTTGTACGTAAACTTATCATCATTTGCATGAATGTCACAAAATGATGAGCTTCGCTCGCTACAGTCGCTACGTATACTGACTGTAGGTATGTTATTATGCACGAAGGTAAATAAGTAAATTCTTCATAATGTAGGTACCTACATGTTAGTTGTTTGAACTCGTCTGCGATATTGTAAAAGCTTTATAAACGTCAGATTTAGTGACCAATTAGTTAGTTACTTACCTAACTATTAAAAACCACATTCTACTTTCAAACATGAATTGCAAATCTTCAATTCACATTTTATGCAAAATTTTATCTCAAACGAGGAAATTATGATAAAATGTAAATCTCTTCGTAATAGACAGTTTTAGGAAAATCCATGACGATTGTGATCGATACGAGTTTACCTATGACGCGCATTTGTCCTCCACCTACTTCATATATTTTTTTTAATAAATAAAGCACACCCATTAATGTGAACGATAGATGAATCACTGGAAACTAAGAGATTCTGGCGTATTTTCCTGCATTATTTCTCGTAAAATATCGATATTGCGCGTCGTCGTCCCTCACGCCCGCGCTAGAGTCGACGACCGCTGACGTCACGGACCCCTCCCCCTTCTCTTGCCAAATTAAGGCTTCGTCTTCCATTTGGGAAGATTCTCACAATTCAATACATGCATTCGTTACTACTTCACGCGTTCTGATTAATACTAATAAACTGTGCTAAGTTCACCGCTAATTTTGCAGAAACCCACGTGTGGACGTTAATCGTCAGACTCGTCTCCATGTTAATAGATCGTGCAACGTAATTATCATACAGTTATTATAGTCTTTTTACATAAGGAAGAGCTAGTAACATTGCTGCTAAATAAATTATGACTTTTCAGGTTGCAAACCATAACGAACTACCTCAACCTACTTCGTTCCTATTACCTTCATGAATTAATTAAACTAGGCCGTGGTAGCGGCAACGGAACCGGTTGTAAATAATTGACAGGCACTGATTCTCTTTTGGTAACTTGTAATTACGGTTATTTTATTAATCAAAACCATGTAAGTACGTATTGTGTTTTTTAGGCGACTTAATTAAATGGATATATCAATATCAATATGTATTAACTTATAATATTATAAGTTAATTTAAAAACTTATAGCATTATTACTATAAGTCGTAAGCGCTCAGTAGTAAGTCGAATGTGGCCTTCTGATTTTAGTCCGCG